ATTTTAACATATTTACCTTTTAGAGGAAATGCGATTCTACATGCTGTTTGGATTTACTGCATCACATTTGCTGCATCACATCAATCAAGGATCCCACCCACTTGAATATCCACTTTCTCTTACCCAGCCAGGACAGGACAGTGTAAACAGTGATGTAATATTACATTAAGGCATTCATTTTCTGAGTTAGTGACTGATTCAGCTGACTTTTTTTTCGTTAATGTTAGCAGGTTCTCTGTGGGCTAATTGAACTGTATTCTGTCTGTAAAAAAGTTGTACAGGAAACAGGCTCCAATGACATTTAGAAACAGGTGTCAACATGCAAACTGTAACATCCAAAGTTAAGAAGACTTTACTTCAAAATTTGTTACAAGCTTTAAATGTTTCTGTACATAGCTGCTATAAAATGTAAATATTCACCATTGTTAGCCTAGTGCTAACATAACATTGAAATCCTCATTAGCAGGGTGGCAGAAATTAGCATTGTCCTAGCTATGGCAAATGGGTAAACAAAAGCTACTTATAAAGCAACTTACAACATTCTGTATTAAAAAAATGGTGATTGTATCTGGCCCTGGGCATAAACAAGCTTAAAAATTCATTTACAGCCTCTATACTGTGCGCCTCTGCACAGAGTTCTCCACCACCTCTCATGACATCACTGACCCCACACCTCCACTTAGACAGTCACTGAGATCAGTGGTCATTAGCATACAAAATCAACTCCCTGAAAAATGCATTTTCTTCACAGAGGAGTAAATGGCAGGATAAAACACATATACAAAGGCTGAATTAAGGTATTGTTTGTCTTCCAACATCTTGTTCCATTCTGAAGTATAATAAAACTGACTGTACATTATTATTTTTCTTTTGTTTTTTTCTAAAGCAGAGTGGAAGCAAGTGAATTTCAGATTATTTGAGCACTAAATTAACCAAGCTGTGAAGTAAAATGCTGTAGTTCACTCACGGGTAGATAACAGATGAGAATTACAAATGTGTGAAAATACAGTAATCGAATGCACTGCAAAGAAAAACTGAATAGCTTTGTGTGCTGTTGGTGCCGTACCACCGTAATTAAACATGGGGCCTCTCAGTTGTATGGTTAGTGTAGCTCCTTAAAATCGGAAGAGATTTAGAAATTGTGATTGTACTGTATGTGTAACCCCATAACAGAATTGTCTTAGTGTAGAGTCCAGCAAAAAGTGTGAAAAAGAAATTCAGAGTGGAGTACTGATTTGACTTTCACAAGTTCTGTACAATTATTGACTTTCTTTAAAATACTTCATGTGCCTTCTCCATACTAGGGCCAGACTGATATGAACATTTTGTCAGAATACAAACTATATAACTGATTATGTCAGCCATTAAAGTTTAATCATCAATGGTACATCATTAAATATCATGTTGGCCTTTTTTATTGGCAAAACAATATGTATGCAAGAAAGGTGGTATGCAGTAAGGTTGTGTGGGCAGGGCAGGGGGAATGCATGCATTAGGGCAGTGTGTGCATTAAGTATCTCACTCAGCAGCTCAAAGCATCAGCCAGAGAAATGCCAGCAGGCTGACAGATGTGCTACACACATCTTTGCACATACATCTATACACACTGGGGCTGCACAGTGTATATACTATACTAGTTGTCTAGTTATCATTGTCATTTACCATAGTTACCACAGCTTGCAGTGGTACATTTTGAAGTGGATATGCACAGCTGAAGAATTTGTATTGTATTTGAGCCTCATGCCAATGGCACAACTTCTGCCTTGCACTTAAAAAAAGTAATGCATTGAATTTACATGATTCAAATGTGTATATATGCATAACTTTCACATTAACTCAAAGTATAAACACAGTTTTGTATTTCAGTCTACTTACTTTCAGAAATAATTGTGATTGTAAAATGTTATTCATATGAAAATGATGTACATGTCTAAATCAAGTTAATTCAAATATATATTTTTTTAAAGTAAGTTCAATAATTATGATGGTAAGGAGGTGTAGACCCATATACGGACCCTGGATGTTTAAGAGGTTACACAAAAAGGGGTTTCTGAATTACCTGATTTTACTGTCAGTAAAAGTAGTACTACATCACACTAGTGAATATGCAGTGACCCAAATGCATGCATGATGCTTTATGCTAAGGCAGGTGTGGAAATGGTTACGTTTAGCCATAGCAGATATATGGCACATGTAGCAGCAGAATTAAATATATTGTATGGCTTACTGCTGAGAAATGGCAACCTTGTCTCTTGATCTCTGTCTCTCTCCCTCTTTGCTTAACGTAATTTGACTAAAACCCCTCTAATCCTTTCAGATAATCTGTCAAATGGTCCTCTCCCTCTTCTCTCCTTCTCCGTCTCTCTGCGTCTACCTTTCTCTCCCTGTGCCTTTGCCCCCCTCTCATTAAACCGTTGGCCTGGCAGACATTAGCCAATGCAAAAACCAGCCCCACTGACATCAACTGGGTCATTAAGAAACTAGCACAGCACTAAATTAATCTTCTCATCCATGTTTTTTTTCAAAACAAATGCTTTTACTGCCCAGGCTCCATCTGCAGTTGGTGGATATTTCCCGTTCAGTAGTTACAGATTCAGCAAACCGATTCTACTGGAGTAGAGCACTGTTTAAAAAATTGGAATCAATGTTTTCAGTAACAGAAATCTAGTTTTGTTGTCGATGCACACAACTTAATAACATGCAAATAAAAACAGAAAGAAGTGATTTATAACGTCAGAAAATCCAGATTGTTACCAGTGTGAAGTTCTAAAACCAGTGTCTGTCATGGAATGGGGGGGGTATTAGTGGATAACTTACATTTGTGAAAGCACCATTAACATTAAAGACATTTTGGAGCAACATATGCTGCGTATAAGGCATTCGTCTACTCAGGGACAACCATGTTTATATCAACATGACAACACAAAGAAACATTCTGCAAGTGTCACAACAGTTTGGCCCCCATGATTGCTAGACTGGCCTGCTTGCAGTCCAGAACTTTCTCCCGTTTGAAAATGTATGTCTTATTGAGTGTAAAATATGACAACAAAGGCTGCACAGCTGAAAATATGTATTGCAGAAGAACAGCAAAAATTCCACTTTCAGAACTGGATCCATCGGTGTCTTCAGTCCCTAAAAGATTATTAGATAAAGGAAAGGTGATATAACACAGCGGTAAATATGCTCCTGTCGCTTCTTTTTGGAAGGTGTTGCAGGCATCAAATTTGGAATTAGGATATATTTACAAAAAACTTTGAAAATCATAAAGTACAATGTAAAATATTGTGTTCTTGCATTGATTTTAATGCAATAAAGGTCAAACAGAATTTACTGATCATTACTTTCTGTTTTTTATTAGCATTTCACATACTGTCCGAACTTTTATGGAATTGGGTTTGTACTTTCTCACGAAGGCTTAGTTTGAGCTCTTGAGACACTTTCAGGGAGTTATTTTCTGGAATAAATGTTTATGTGCAGCAGAGCACATATAAACAAAATGACTCTAAAACAACAAGGTTTAATTTATCCGTTTTTTTTAATACTTCATTATTTTTTACAAAAACTAAATATTCATTTAATTTTTAAATAAAAACTAATTATGGAACACAAAACTTAGTTGGATTTAACATAACAGGCTATAGTGTCCTTGAGGGCCTAGAGGCTATAGCTTTAGCATTTGATGTCAGCAGCACGTTCCAAAAAAGTTGGGACAGGGGCAACAAAAGACTGGTAAAGTTGAGTAATGCTAAAAACACCTAGTGGAACATCTCACAACTAATTAGGTTAATTGGTAACAGGTCAGGAACATGATTGGGTATGAAAACAGCATCCCAGAGAGGCTGAGTCTTTCAGAAGTAAAGATGGGGAGGGGTTCACCACTCTGCATGGTAAAATAGCGTAACAATTCAAGAATAATGTTTCTCAATGTAAAATAGCAAAGAACTTGGGGATATCATTATCTATGGTACACAATATCATTAAAGATTCAGAGAATCTGGAGAAATCTCTGTATGCAAGGGAGCCAGTAGTGGCTGGCTGTGACCTTCAGGCCCTCAGGCAAAATTGCATTAAAAACAGACAGGATTCTGTAGTGGAAAGCACTGAATGGGCTCAGGAACACTTCTGAAAACCACTGTCTGTGAACAGTTTGTCTTTGCATCCACAAATGCAAGTCTACCATGCAAAGAAGAAACCATACATAAACAGGATCCAGAAATGCTGCCTGAGCCCATTTAAGATGGACTGAGGTGAAGTGGAAAAGTGTCCTGAGCTCCGATGAATCAAAAATTTTCATTATTTTTGGGAATCATGGATGCCACGTCCTCTGGGCTAAAGAAGGAGGGGGAAAATGGCTTGTTATTAGTGCACAGTTTAAAAGCCAGCATCTGTGAAGGTATGGAGGTGCATTACTGCACATGGCATGGGTCAATGTATATTAATGCTGAATGATATAAAAAAGTTTTGGAGCAACATATGCTGCCATCCAGATGATGTCTTTTTCAAGGAAGGCCTTGTTTATTTCAGCAAGACAATGTCAAACCACACTTCAGCACATATTAAAACAGCATGGCTCCGTAGTTAAATAGTCTGGGTGCTAAACTGGCCTGCCTGCAGTCCAGATTTGTCACCCATTTAAAAACATGTGGCGCACTATGAAACAATTAAATATGACAAAGGAGACCCTGAACTGTTGAGCAGCTGAAATCTTATATTAAGCAACAATAGAAGAGCAATTGGTCTCCTCAGTTCCCAGTTTCTTTGTACTATTTTTAATCACATATAGGGTTCAAATGATTTGCACTGTTCTTTTTTACATTTTCTACAGCTTCCCAACTTTTTTTGGAAACAGGGTTATAGTTATGTATATATATTTTATCCCTATGTAAATGATCTGAATCACTCAGTGCATCACTTTTTTTAGTCTTCAACTGCATCCTCTTTTTGAGGGTAATGGTCAGTTTGAATTCATCTGATGAAAGTTTGGTTTGCTTCTTTTTCAGATTCCCCAGATCAGTTATGCTTCTACGGCTCCAGAGCTAAGTGATAACACCCGCTATGACTTTTTCTCTCGTGTGGTGCCCCCTGACTCCTTCCAAGCCCAGGCCATGGTGGACATTGTGAAGGCCATGGGCTGGAACTATGTCTCCACACTAGCCTCAGAGGGAAACTATGGAGAGAGTGGAGTGGACGCTTTCCTCCAGATCTCCAGAGAAGCAGGTGCAGAACTCAGTCCCTAAAGGGCCCATATTATAGAAAACCATACTGAACATTCTCTTGAGAAGTTAGGAAACTTACCATTCACTCCCCACAGAGGGAAATTATGCTGCAAAAATCACAGCCTTAAACACCTTTTCATATGATCACCCATTCAACCTCCTGCAATTTAGCCTCGCCCATTCTTGTTGAAGCTTTGCAGAGTGCTGTTCCAGCAGACAGTCAGTTGCAGAGTGTAAAATATGGGGAAACGGTTACATTGTGTTATTCCTGCCTGTAGAGAAGCAAATGGATCACTGCAGCCTTCCAAATGATATATATATATATCCAAAAAACTCTGGCAAATCCAGAGTTGTGTATTGCATGTAGGTATTAGTACAGAGTTATGTTTTTGCCACTTCTCTAAGTTCAAGGTAGGGTTGGGCATAATAGCAATTTTTTATCTTTATTGTGATAAATTCTCTGAACAAATTGGATCAAGGATATGTTTGCCCTGTTTATCGCTCATCTCAGAATATGTTTCAAACTGACAACAAAGCATTTCTGTATGCCTGCTAAATGCAATAATGGAAAGTTTGTTTTTCCCACATGAGTTCAGCCTGCACTTGAAAATTTGTTCCACACTTTGGTCTGAATTGCTGTCTGAAGAAGGTACAACACAGGGCAGCCAATCAGAACAGAGGACAGTTATTTATATTCATCTTAAAGACACAATAACAAAAACATCCTGTTTAATTCTAAGGGATAAAGAAAAAAAGACTTTTCAGATTGTCTGTTTTAGCATCTATTTTTGTTAGTTAAAGAAAGGCTTACTTTGGGAAATGTGTTGTCATTGAATGTTGTATGTGTCGCTTGCCTCCATCTAGGAGGTCTGTGTATAGCCCAATCCATTAAAATTCCTAGAGAGCCAAGACCGGGGGAGTTTGATAAAATCATTAAGAGGCTAATGGAGACGTCCAACGCCAGAGGAGTCATTATCTTCGCTAATGAAGATGACATCAAGTGAGTTACTTCTGTCATTATTCAAATTTTCAATGGACGTGGGATGCGGCCTAAGTAGAGTTCTGAGTGATGTCATGAGTAACACTTATATTTAAAAACAAATGAACTAAATAAATAAATCTAGAAAAAACCTGGAGAAATAGCCTGAAGACAATGATAAAGAAGGTCATAGCAGTATGGGAAAGCAGAAATGCAGATGCTAATTCTAGTGATAGCATGAATGAGTCTCACAAGATGGAATTCTGTTTATCATCAGAGAGTCTGGGGCTGCAAACAAAGCAAACCAATGGGAAACAAATGTGTCGGCAAACTCACGAGGATATCTTACTTTGAAAAAATACTGCTTCAAAGAAAACTTTTAAAGATGGGAAAAAATACTTTTCTTTCAGTCCAGAGATTATTACACTCTCAAAAGCTATGTCACAGCACACACAGCAGGCAACTGCTCAGAAACATGTTTTCCATCGGATTGATGAAATCCACTGCACAGAACACAGCTGTGCATATAGCTAATCAGAATGGAACTGATAAAATCCTACTACTTGTGGTCAACAACATGCAACAGATATTATGCTCTCCATCTACATGCAAGCATCTGAGACAAGCAGGAATGTATGACAGAATATAAAATAAAGCATGCAATATCCCAATCATTTCATGGAAGTTTCTATCTTGTTTACACTAAGAGCCATACAGAGTCATAAAATCATGAAGATCTGTCAGGAATGTATGCATGTATGTACTCAGTAATATTAAATGCAGAGAAAGTCATTTGCTTTTTATCTGATTTTTATCTGATACCACTTGAAGCCCCTATTTTTGCTCATGCATATATTTGACTCGCTGCTTCCTGCTTGGCATGGTGGTGCACGCTAGTACAAGATATAGTTTAGCTGTGAAAAAGATTTTTAATGCGTTTCTGAAAGATATGTGTCTAATTTAATTTTCCCAATTTTTCCATTGTGTTCTGCTCGCAATGTTACAAGAGATTAAAGTAAAGCATAGCAATCACATTGTCATGAAATGTCAATATAATTCCAGTCAGGTGTACTGCATGACAATCAGGTCGTTAACATTATGCTTGTAATTTTGGCATACACCATAAGAACATTACAGGCCTGAATACCTGACCCCTGCAGTAAGGGGGTCTGATGGCTCTGTTATGCTGTGGGCAACATTTCGTTCAAATGGTTTGGGTCCACTTGTCCCCTTAAAGGGAAGAGTCACTGCAAACCAATACAAAGGTATTTTGACTGATCAGCTTTACCCTATGATGATGAAACATTTCTATCTTGATGGGAGTGGTCTCTTCCAGGACAACAATGCTCCCATCTACAGGGCATAAGGGGGTTGATGAGTATGAAAATGATCTAAATGTAAATCAAATGCTACAGCTTTCACAGTCACGAGATCTCAATATAGTTAAAAAAATATAGGACATTCTGGACCATCACCATTAAAAAACCAACTGAGGGAATATCTTTTGGAAGAATGGTATTCATCTCTCTAGAACAGTTTCAGATTGTCCCCATGTCAAGCCTCCTGTTTAGAATTATAATTATTCCACTCCAGCTTTAGCTCCACCCGTGCTCCACCTGTTCATCATTACCCACACCAGTGGTTCATTCCTAAAACTGATTACAAACCCCATATTTGCCTTGGCAAAGTCTTGCTGTTTCTGTGCATTTCTGAGGGTTATTCTTGTGGGTTTATCCCTTTAGTTTTGACAGTTGTTTGATTTTGTTCTGGTTGTGATTATGGATTTGTCTGGATTGTCACTGCCTGTTCTTTGACCACTGTCTGTGATGATCTCGTCATTTTGTAGTTGATGTCAAGTAAGGAACTTATTCAGTTTGTTTTAAATCAGTATGTCTATAACAGATTGTCATTACACCTAGAAATGTGACGCTGAAGTCCATCTTTAAGCTGAAATAATCCATCCTGAAAGCTAATGGCTATAAAAAAAATCCCAACAGTATTCATGATTCCTAGAAATAGCTCTGGTAAAGCACCTTACACAATCCTTTATAATGATTTCTGTTTCACATTTTGTAATACAATGTATAGGGTGCCTAGTTTTTAAAATAATGACTTCTTTTAATAAGCCATGAAATCTAGAGATCCATGAAAGGTAAGGTCAGATTAGTAATATTTGTGATTAGCAAATGTATTATTATTATTATTATTATTATTATTATTATTATTATTATTGGTGCTGTTGTTTTTGTTGTTGCTGCTATCATTATTATTAACATTAGTTTTATTCATTACAGTTATTATTATCAGGAGATTTATGAAGGTTATTGTTAATTAATTATCTGTTGTAGGCGGGTCCTTGAAGCAGCCAAGAGGGCGAATCTCACAGGTCACTTCTTGTTTGTGGGCTCTGATAGCTGGGGGGCCAAAATTGCCCCCATCCTGAATCAGGAGGATGTGGCAGAAGGAGCGGTCACCATCCTGCCCAAAAGAGCGTCTATAGAGGGTATGAAAACATCGTTACTGTGCAAAAATCAAAAGAGTCAAAAGTTTTGAGTTTTCTCACTACATGAACTGCGCTAGTTAAACTAATGAGATAGGGAAAGGCTCTATGTTTGAATTTACAATTTTCCCCTTAATCCAAATAGAGTCAGTCAGCCAAGACATGTTAGCTTTCTTTAATTGTTAGCGTTCCAGTCCTAAACACTTTCAGACTTTCAGCTGTATTTCTTTTTGTCCCCAAAGTTCTTTAAAATGTTGTCACCGTCAAGACAGGGAATTGTATCTTAACAACAACTTTTCAGGAAAAGAAAAAAGTTGTTAATTTTTGCCTTAGTGCAGTGTCTGTCCTTTCCAATGTTTTTGATGATTTTTTTTTCCTGAGCCAGTGTGTGACTTCATGGGCATAAAACATGAAGCATAACTTAACTTAGGGGATAGTTACGATGAATTGTGTTTACACTGGTTACAGTGTATGGATGATGCAGAAATGTATATATCCTAACATTCAAAACACTGTGTTTAAAACAAATGCAAAATGGATTATACAATTCATTGACTGTTCTTAGGAACTTAAGACACATATTACTGAATAAATCTCTCAAAATGTGTGTTAATATGCTATTAGACATGTTTTTTCCCATCTTTATCAAATTACCCTATAGACTCTTAAAATGAAAAAGTGGTAAATAGTTCTTGGATCAGATGTACAAGTAAAACATTACATTGGTACAGCATCTTTGCATTATGTGTAGTTTCTGTAAACTTTAAAAAGGTTATTGATTCACATGCACATCTCCTTTATGTTGAAAGGACAAGCGTTTCATTGGCTGGGTCAGGTGTGTAGAGTGAAAAAACACAAAAAAGTGCAGCGCACAGAGTCGAAGAGTCACCAATACTGGAATTGGGAGCCCCTGTTCTATGGCATTAATCCAAGGAACTGCGTTGCAGTATTGAAAAACTAGAGCTGCACAATGTATCTAAAATGTTAAATTATATATACAGTTGTGCTCATAAGATAACATACCCTGGCAGAATTTGTGATTTTTTTATATTTTTTCAGAGAATAATAATGATAATACAACAACTTTTCTTTTATTCATGGTTAGTGGTTGGGTCAAGCCATTTATTATCAAACAATTGTTTTTGCCCTTTTTTAAATCATAATGACAACAGAAACTACCCAAATGACCCTGATCAAAAGTTTACATACCCTAGTCCTTAATACCGTGTATTCCCTCCTTTAACATCAGTGACAGCTTTAAGTCTTTTGTGGTACTTGTGGATGAGGCACTTTATTTTCTCAGATGGTAAAGCTGCCCATTCTTCTTGGCAAAATGCCTCCAGTTCCTGTAAATTCTTGGGCTGTCTTGCATGAACTGCACATTTGAGATCTCCCCAAAGTGGCTCAATGATATTGAGTTCAGGAGACTGAGATGGCCACTCCAGAACCTTCACTTTTTTCTGCTGTGGCCAATGACAGGTCGACTTGGCCTTGTGTTTTGGATTATTGTCATGTTGGAACATCCAAGTGCGTCCCATGCGCAGCTTCCGGGCTGATGAGTACAAATTTTCCTCCAGTATTTTCTGACAAAATGCTGCATTCATCCTGCCATCAATTTTGACTAAGTTCCCTGTGCCTATGTAGCTCACACATCCCCAAAACATCAGCGATCCACCTCCGGGTTTTACAGTAGGGATGGTGTACTTTTCATCAAAGGCCTTGTTGACTCCTCTCCAAATGTAGCGTTTATGGTCGTTGCCAAAAATTTCAATTTTGGGCTCATCACTCCAAATAACTTTGTTCCAGAAATCTTGAGGCTTGTCTCTGTGCTGTTTGGCATATTGTAAGCGGGCTGCTTTGTGGCATTGGCGTAGTAAGGGCCTTCTTCTGGCGACTCGACCATGCAGCCCAAGTGCTTCCTTATTGTGCATCTTGAAACAGCCACACCACTTTTTTCAGAGAGTCCTGTATGTCAGCTGACATTATTTGTGGGTTTTTCTTTGCATCCTGAACAATTTTCCTGTTTTTTTTTCAATTTTTGTTGGTCTACCTGACCTTGGCTTGGTTTCAACAGAATCCCTCATTTTCCACTTCTTAATTAGAGTTTGAACACTGCTGATTGGCATTCTCAATTCCTTGGATATCTTTTTATATCCGTTTCCTGTTTTATAAAGTTCAACTATCTTCTCCTGCAGATCCTTTGATAATTCTTTTGCTTTCCCCATGTCTCGTAATCCAACAATGTCAGTGGCAGCACTGGATGAAACATGCAGGGGTCTGTCAGGAGCCCAGTAACTTACTGACTCTTTATACACACACACTGATTTACAAGCAAACAGATCACAGGTGAGGATGGTTACCTTTAGTAGCCATTTAAACCTGTGTGTGTCAACTTGTGTGTATGTTATCATGACAAAACTTCCAGGGTAGGTAAACCTTTGATCAGGGTCATTTGGGTAGTTTCTGTTGTCATTATGATTTAAAAAAGGGCAAAAACAATTGTTTGATAATAAATGGCTTGACCCAACCACTAACCATGAATAAAAGAAAAGTTGTTGTATTATCATTATTATTCTCTGAAAAAATATCAAAAATCACAAATTCTGCCAGGGTATGTAAACTTATGAGCACAACTGTATATATATTATGAGTCATATAAAGTCATAAAGTCATATAAAGGGTAGCAAGTGTTTTCAAATAGTGTGAAAAAAGAGGAATGATAAGGTTTTGACCTGATTGTCAAGATATGCATGTGGATGAAGTTAATGAAGTGTAATCAAATTGAGATAAGATTCCCTGTAACTGCAAGGGTTCTTTTCGGATAATGACGTATTATGCTTTTGAACCCAGCAAATTCAGTGCCCTTTTTCTAAGCTCTTAAGCTACTAATTAGCCATTTTCTACTTTTTCAGGCTTTGACCAGTACTTCACCTCACGCTCTCTGGAGAACAACAGGAGAAACATATGGTTTGCAGAATTCTGGGAAGACGATTTTAAGTGCAAGTTGACCCGCCCAGGCATTAAACTGGACAGTGGCCAGAGGAAATGCACAGGTCAGCAGAAACATTTTAAACATCTATATCAGACCAGTCAGACTCATTCTTCAACCTGTGGAGCAGAAACTGACATTTAACAGCTACAGATTTTTTTTATTTGTCCAAACGCAAATTACAATCACTCCTGTTTAAAAGGTTTTCTGTGTGATGGGGCATATAAATCATATAAAGCCAGTCAAGATTAGATTTAGGTTCAGACAAGCATAGTTCTGACATAGAACATACAAAATACAATACAGATTCACAATATACATTATTCACATAACATAGCAACAGTAAATAATGACACTGTAGACGACTTAATTAAACACATAGCATGCAAGTACATGGCAGGACATCTGTACTCTTTTTTTCTGACCATTTGTGATAGAGTGATTCAATTAATGGGGGGCACCTATGATCTTGGATGATTTGCTGACAATATTTGTTGAAAGATTATGTGTTGATATGTGTGACAGTACAGCAGGGGTGTTTAATCTTATCCGCAAAGGGCCGGTGTGGCAGCAAGGCTCTGTTCCAAACAAGCAGAAGCACACCTGAGTCGGAATGGGACAGCCCTGAAGTGCAGTAATAGAAGCTCTTCAATGTTAAAGCTAAAGCCATGTGTATACTATCAGACTATTAACACAATTTTTCTGCTTTAGACACCCCTCAAATATCCCCAATCACAAATACCTCAAACATCTAAATACCTGCAAAACTCGCTTATATATTCACACATAAACATTTACCTTAATACCCATGTATAAGCCACCTAAGCTTTTAACAGCTTTTACATTTCAAGCTTATTTCAATTACCTTGACTTAAGGGGGCTATCAGTGTTTGTTTTTCAGTTAATGGTTTTATATAATGGTATAGGCTGGTATTAGCTGTCAAATAAAGAAGATATTGATCATTTCGATTCAGAGATTTTTGCACTTTTTTACGTTTTTTATGGTTGAGCATGAGTTGGAAGAGGCTGAGGTAAAGTTTTCTCTCGTACCAATCAGAATTATCAAAAAAAAAAAATCAGCGGCTCGTTACCACAGCCCCTCCCCACACAAACCAAAGCCTCTGTTATTATGCCTGACCAACTGCCAGTGAGCAAGCCAGCAGGCATTTAAAAAACACTTCTCAACTGTGGTAAAATTACTGTAATGCACAGTTTTAATAAGAAAAACATGTCTGCAGTGTCTACTGTGTTTACTGTGGGATTATTTACATTGCCATGATTATGCCACTGTCAGTCACTGTGTGTTCTGAACAAATGACCGGGGTGCAAAATACAGGGGGTTATAAAACCCAGGGGACTCCCTGAAAATAAACTTATGACATTATGCTGTCTGTTAGGGTAAAATAGACACTCAAACATTTTCACAAATTTAGGTAAAGGTCATTATTTAGCTGCTTCACCCACAATCGGTGAGCTTCTGTCTTTGGCATTCTTAACTAACTAGATATGCAGCGCTGGTCTGGCTCAGGGTGGTGCTGTAGCAAATTGGTTCACCCAGTTGGTCCTTTATAGCCTAACAACTATGCCTGGGATGCAGCTGCATATTTGTAAATCTGAAAACCTGACCAATTTCCCAAAAGTTTGGAAGAAAGAATGAATTGTTACTTGTTTCACAAACCAAAGATGCTAGAGGAAATGTGTCTTAGTTAATGTCTGGAAGACCACATTACCAAACTACAAAAGAGCATTTCTGGAAGAAGAACTATTAAACCAAACATTTTGGTGCCATCAAAGCTAGCATCAGTGCCGCTATTGTGAGAGAATTAGCAATATGGAGTATCCAACTGAGATCAGACACCCCAAGTACCAGGGGGTATTTCGCACATTACTAATGACCCATGAGAGCATGAAGAAGAAACATAGAGAACAATCAAAACGCAGCAGTATTTTTATGTTTTTTATGTTGTAGAGTGAAATTAACTGGTCTTCTTATTGTGTTTGCTGCTGTTTTATGCAGGAGAGGAGCGGATCGGCAGGGATTCTCCATATGAGCAGGAGGGGAAGGTACAGTTTGTCATTGATGCAGTTTACGCCATGGCCCACGCTCTTCACAGCATGCACATAGACCTGTGCCCAGGGTCCACGGGCATCTGCGACAGGATGGACCCGGTGGAGGGCAGACTGCTACTAAAATACATTCGTGCTGTCAACTTTAACGGTCAGTACAACTTTATTGCTGAGCCAAGGCCACCAGGTGTAGTTTCCACTGGAGAGCCCATTTTTTGCCCTTTTTTGATTTAGAGGTTGTGGGGGAAATTTCACAGCTGTCAAAATTTAGATGACAGAAAAATGATTAGACTATGGGGCTAATTGATAAAGATCAATATAAAGTAGAACTACACCACTGATATATGGATCAGTGGGCTACAACTATTTCCATACCATGTTACTCTGTTACACTATGCCCTGTTTGATGCAAACAGTTTATTAACCTGGATTTGGTAATGTTAATGAAAGAAAACAAAAAGTCTTCAGTATTGTGTTTGTATTTCATGGCTTTTGTGTTCCATTTAAGAGAAGACTGAATTAAGTGGAAGATAAACTGGTTATCTGGAATTAAACTATGCGATTATACACACGTTAAGGAGGTTTTAGATGAAGCAGGAAAACTGCTTGCGCTGGCGATGCTATTGTTTGCCTGTGGAGAGAGCAGTGCCGCTTCTCCTTGACATTGCGCAACCTAGAGCGTTGCGGACCGCTTGGATTTGCTGCATTGCCACTCTGTGTTTCTACCTTGGTGCTGCTCTGAAAGTAAATTCAACTTTCAGTTAAATTCAACTTTGACCCAGTTTGCTGGTTATCTTTCCAAAGCATGGGAAATGAGAAAAAGTGTTATACACCAGGAGATTTGTTTTAAAATTAGATACATGTTTTACTGCAGGTGGATATACTGTGTCAGGTGTTTGGTTTTCAACCTTACACTTATTGACGTATACTGATGGCACAGCACCATTTCCTAGATATTCCACGATCAACTGTGAGTGGTATTATTGAAAAGTGGAAGTGTTTAGGAACCACAGCAACTCAACCATGAAGCTGCAGACTACGTAAAACAGGGGTGTCCAATCTTATCCACAAAGGGCTGGTGTGGCTGCAGGTTTTCACTCAAAACAAGCTGGAGCACACCTGATGCCACCAGTTTAATCAGTTGGTTTCAGTCTTCAAACTGCTGATCAGGTGATCAGCTGATCAGGTGATTTGCATTGTTGGAATGATAACCTGCAGCCACACTGGCCCTTTGTGGATAAGATTGGACACTCCTGACATAAAGTTACAGAGCGGGGTCACAGAGCACTGAGGCACATAGTGCATAAAAGTCACTCTGCTGACTCAGTATCTGCAGAGTTCCAAACCTCCTCTGGCATTAACATCAGCACAAAAAACATGCACCAGGATGTTTCATGGCATGGATTTCCATGGCCGAGCAGCTGCATGCAAGTCTTACATCACTAAGCACAATGCCAAGCGTCAGATGGAGCGGTGTAAAGCACGCCACCGTGGAAACGTATTCTGTGGAGTGACAAATCATGCTTCTCTATCTGGCAGTTTGATGGATACCTCTGGTTTTGGCGAATGCTAGGAGAACATTACCTGTCTGACTGTATTGTGCCAACGGTAAAGTTTGGTGGAGGAGGGAAAATGCTATGAGTTTGTTTTTCAGGGGTAGGCCCAGGCCTTTAGGGTCCAGTGAAGGGAAATCTTTATGCTTAAGCATACCAAGACAATTGTATGCTTCCAACTTTGTAGTAACAGTTTGGGGAAGGCCTTTTTCTGTTCCAGCATGACTGTGCCCCAGTGCACAAAGCAAGGTCCATAAAGGCATGGTTGGGTGAGTTTGGTGTGAAAGAACTTGACTGGCCTGCAAAGAGCCCTGACCTCAACCCCATCAAACACCTTTGGGATGAACTAGAATGGAGATTGCAAGCCAGGCCCTCTCGTCCAACATCAGTGACTGACCTCACAAATGCTCTTCTGGATGAATGGGCAAAAATTCCCACAGACCCACTAAAAAGTCTTGTAGAAAGCCTTCCCAGGATAGTGAAAGCTGTTATAGCTGTTGTTATATGTTGTTGTAACCAAATGGGCTTTCCAATGTAAATGCATAAAAATATCAGTATCAGCAGTAAATATAATTAGTGAAGAGCGTATGTGTCAAACATGGCCAATGTATTTTTTACTATAAAGTAGAACGGCAAATATTAGAAAATGAAAGGATATTTTTGATCTGTAAATAAAGAATTAATAGGGATGTGGACTTCTTTCACTGCTTATTTTGGGAGGCTGTACTTTAGCCTGGCTGGCTCTTGCTGAGATTTATTATATTCTTCTTGTCTTCTTATTGTTTGTCAAAGTGTTTGCATCCTGCAGGCTTTTTTACTGTAATTCAAGAGGGGAAAACAAGCTGAGAATGTAAAAAAATAGGTGATGGGGAGTTTATCTAAGAGAGGAAAACCTGTGCAAGGAGAAGCTGTTTTGGAAGAGTGCTGTTTGTGTCCCAGGGGTCAATGAAAAGTGGAGGATGGATAGGTCAGCATGAAGAAGAGATTGACTCATTCACTTCAAGCCTGAAGAACACCACTAATGCACTACTGTTCCATGTCTTGTCTTTAAATACACCACTCTTTCTCTCTCTCTCTCTCGACCTCCCTACCCCCCCAACCCCCATTTCCCCCAGGGTGTCCTCTTTCCAAACACTAGACGCATTTCCCCTTTTCAGCACCGTCGCTCTGTGCAAATCCTCTTTCTTTTCTTCTTTCTCTCCATCTCTCGTCTTTGAGTGCACAGAGCTCTCTATGAAAAGCTGGTGCCACTGAGTTTTTAGTGTTTTTGATGGCTGTGGTCATCTTTCTCTCTCGTGTATGGATCTCCGCTCGACTGTGAACACCTCAGGGCAGCCAGGGTGAATCACAATCACTTTAAAGAAGATGCTCCTGAATGAACAAATAGAAGAACTGTCGTCATGTTGGTTTATAAGGTTTTGCTTTATTCCCAAGGGCGTCATTGGTTTTAGAAGTGGAAGGACAGTAGTTAGCTATCTACTTAAGCCAACACTAAAATAATTTTTAATATGGATGTTTGTTAGCTAATTGTAGCTTTAGAAGCTGTTTTACAATTTGGAGCAACAAAAAGTATTTATTTCTGATCATATGTATTTTTAGACACTTTATGTCAAATATTTGTGACTTTTCTGTACAGGCTCAATAGTAACAATAACATTAATAATAATGTTAATGCTGGCTAATGTAGATAACCAGATCACTTCATTTCACTATGTATAGCCTACTGTTGGTAACTAACAAACTAACTAACAAACTTTAATTGATTGAATACATTATTGATATTAGTGCTGCTTATCCTGCCATTAAATGATTTACACCTCCTTTCTTCTTTTTCTGTTGAATTGTATTTTGATTTTTGAATATTATTGAATATTTCAAACAAATGTTTTGCTTATTCATCTTGATCATAATAGCATTCATCTAGTACACTAAGTTAACTTATGTACATATCTAACCATAAGTATGGGTGCAGCAAAACTGTGAAAAAGGGATGTAGTGTAACCATGGAAATGGGTGTAGTCTAACCATAGTGATAAGTGTAGTGTAACCATGGAATTGAGTGTATCCAATGCTCCATATATAAACCTATGCTTACTCCTCTTGTAGAGTGAAGGAAAAGAAACATTAGTTGATGTTTTTCATGTTCTAATCTGCAAACATCTTGCACCCTGAATTAAAATGGAACAGCTCACTGCACATTTTCAGAAGTAAATCTGTACTGGTTTATGTACATGCCTTTGGAGTCACCTTCAAATTATAATTACAGCTTCTGGCTCAAAATATCTGTTTAATAGTCCTAAAAGAATAGTGCCTGATATCTGCAGTTTGCTCTAAGGTGGATTCGCTGCTGTGATCTGATAATTAAACATGTTAAGAAATTTGTTAACTTCCTAATGCAAAACTTCCTTGTGTATGTGTGTGTGTGAGTGTGTAAATAAGCTCCATTTCCAGATAGGGTGTTAACTCCCAGCCCCTGTTGGCTCCACAGGCAGTGCAGGTACTGGGGTTATGTTTAATGAGGACGGAGATGCCCCGGGACGTTACGATATCTTCCAGTACCAGCTCTCCAACACCACCAACCCAGGATACAAAATCATCGGCCAGTGGACCAACCACCTACGACTCAGTGTAGGTGTCAGGAGAGTTCTAACGATGCTAAAGATGTTTGTGATTTGGTCCAGTGTTTATTTTTAACAAGTCATTTGTCAGCGAAAAATCGAATTTGCACATTTTTCACTTACCTTGTAAGAAACTGAACTGTCAAGATATGGTGTTTGGTGTCTGAAGTTTGCTTTTTTACGTCTGTGCTGGAGGTATGAGGCAACTGTATCTAACAAGTAATAGAAGCTGATACTGCACTTAGCATAACTCGAAAGTGTTCAGAATTACATCATTTTTGACCTCTGGGCATTCAAGCTACAAAGTGGGGAAAAAACATGGACACCTCCATGAAAGCGAGTATTGTTAGCAACAAGCTTGAGAGCTACTGTTAGCGGTTAAAGTTCCATCTTTAATGTTTAATGATTTAAGTACGTTCTTAAACAGAAACATTTATGGTAAATGTTACATATTTAACCAACTACTGTCTGTATGTTGAATGGTCTAAAGCAAAAACTGCTATAATCTCATAAAAGTAGAGAAATGGTATTTATTACTGTTGACTGTGAGTAGCAATGTTGGTATGACATCTAACACTGAATTTGGAATTGATGACACTTTTCCAACTTTCTGAGTATAGATTCCAAGTTGATGGGGCTTTTTTTCTTTGTTTTTTCATAGTCAGAAATTCAAAAATTAGTTGGGCAAACTACCTTACACACTTGCCTCAAACCATATCAGCTTGTTAAGTAATCTCAAATAGATTTGCTCATGTTATGCTCTTTCACCAGACTATTCCCTTAAGAATGGCACAATGTAAACATGTTTGCCAGTAGATGAGATATTTTGACATAAATATTCTCTTTTCTTTTTCCTTGTCCATGTCTCTGTAAGGCGGAGGACATGCAGTGGTCAGGAGGAGACAAGCAGGTTCCAGACTCGGTCTGCAGTTTTCCATGTGAGCCAGGTGAACGGAAGCGGATGGTGAAGGGTGTTCCGTGCTGCTGGCATTGTGAGCTGTGTGATGGATATCAGTTCCTGCTGGATGAGTTTAACTGCGACATGTGTCCGTTCGACATGCGGCCCACGCCCAACCGCACGGGCTGCAGGCCCACACCTATCATCAAGCTAGAGTGGAGCTCTCCCTGGGCCATTATTCCAGTTTTCCTAGCCGTCCTGGGTATTCTAGCTACCACCGGCGTCATTGTCACCTTTATTCGCTTCAACGACACACCAATTGTACGCGCGTCTGGCCGAGAGCTCAGCTATGTTCTGCTGACTGGAATCTTCCTCATCTACCTCATTACATTCCTGATGATCGCAGAGCCCGGCGCAGTGGTGTGCGCGTTTCGCCGTTTGCTGCTTGGACTTGGCATGTGTATCAGCTACGCCGCTATGCTGACCAAAACCAACCGCATCTACCGCATCTTTGAGCAGGGCAAGAAGTCTGTGACTCCGCCCAAATTCATCAGCCCCACCTCCCAGCTCATCATCACCTTTATCCTCATTTCAGTGCAGGTATGGGGCTGAGTAATATAAACTTTCATTTCATGGAATATATGGGCTGCAAGTAGATTAAGGGTCTAAGCACAGTGTTTGTAAGGATTTTTCTTCTTTTTTTCTGATTCTGCCCTATAACAACTTGAACAGGCCAGACTTTAAGTTACACCCTTCTAGCTTGGTAGCATTATGTACTGGGGGAGAGAGTCAACAGGAAGTACTCTCTCCCATTATAGATAAGACTGCTTATCTTAAATAGCACACTGCAGCACAGTGTTTTGCATTTAATCGTATTTGTAGGAACAAAATGCTTGCTTCTGCTGATTCCTTGGCATAAATGAAACTAAAAAAGTAAATTTGACTTTAATTGCATAACTTACTTTTGCAAATGAGTCCTAGGTTTTTCGACCAATCCTCACAAAATTGGTGTAAAACTATTTGTAAGAGCCTGAACCTTAGCAATTATCAAAAGCATGATGTTTCTAAACTGTATGAGCACCAAATGTCAATCAGTATTTCTGAACTAGAGCATAGTTGACTATAATGGCCAAAACTCATGAACACTGTCAGAAAAAGATAAAACTTGACATGCTTACATAGGAGATTTTGGGGAAAGACATCCGTTCGTACAAAAAGGGGTAACAGCTAGGTAGCTGTTTCTCAGTATGGTCAAGCTGACAATATGCATGTTGTATCAAAGTTAAAGTCAGTTTTATAGTCATTTCTGCTCATCACAAATGTGTTGTCTCTCCAGGACACAGTGCTCTTTTTAACACAGAACACAAAAGCAGACAACAGAGCAGACAGACAATAAATACAATAAATACTGACAAACTATTCAAAAACTTACATGCCACTCTCTAAATACAGAATGACTACAACCATTGAGCACAGGACAGTATAGAAAACAGACCAGCTGTTGGTCCACAGCAGCAATAGTTTGAGCTAGTTTGTAGGATGAAATACAAGAATGTAATTGTAATTGGAAAATTGTGCCTGCCATTGGTCAGTCAGCTTTGAGCAGGCATTGGACAGGTTTAACACTGATCATCGTTAAACTTGAATAGCATGTCTACACAGGGACAATCAGTGACTCTAAGAATTGGCCATTGGGACACTCATGTTTCCAGCTGTACTATCAAATATATCTGTTACTACATTGTACTAGTGGCCAAAATAGTGAGTTTACATTACACTCACTCATTACATTACATTCACATTTGACATTACTGTATTGTATTTCTGCATTTGTCAATTGCTTTGAAATAGTTTTACATCTAATGACCTTGAATTTGGTCTTGAAATAATGTGTAGAGCAGTGGTCGCCAACCCTAGTCCTGGAGTTCTGCCTCTACCAGTGGAGTCTACTTCCAACCACAGTCTGCCACACATGGTCCAGCTAATTAACCCCTTCAAGCCCAGGCTTATTACATACTAAGGGTTATTATTCACTGACTACAAGGCCTGCGATGCAAACTGGCTGAGCTATTCTTAGGTTATAGAAGTGTGTAATAAAACTTTGGGCCATCAGTGGACCACCAATGGGCACATTTTGTTGACTTCTGATAATGAAACAAATAGATTCAAATCTGTGGATGCAGAATGTCAATTAAGCGAGAATATAATTCACTACATATTACATTGCATTTGTATTATAAATTACAAATGAATAATAACATTTAAATAGTATATTAAAATGGCAATAATAATAATAGACATCTGAGGGTTAAAACCAACAATAATAGGGTTAAACCAACAATAACAACAATATTACATTGATGAATTGTTGTTAAAAGGCATTTCCTGACAAGTATAGATGTAACATTGTAGTATGATTCTGTAATAGCAATTCAAATCATGATACAGCATAAAACATTTTGGTAGGTTCAGTAGGACTGATAGGACTTTAATGCTCAGTATATGTTTGGTGTACTTTAGTCCTCCCAGAGGAGATTTTTCGGCCATTGACTTTTTCTCCACTGAATAATTTATTAAGGAGCTGTTAACTGTGCAGTCGCCTGAAAGCACCGCTGCTGTTACGTTTAGCACTGCCCTTTGCATGCTGGCCATTCTCTTTACCTTTAAAGCATCCTGTCCAGCAACTCTTCCATATGCACAGTTGTACGCAAACCATTTTTTATTACATGTTCTGCAAATGTTAGTGCACAGTTACTTTATATTTGAATTTAAAAATAGGCAAAGAAAACAGTGATTGTGGCATGTGCAAAGGTTGGACACCCTACTACGTTGGTATTTAGTAACACCCCCTTTGGGAGATATCACAGCTTACAAACACTTCAGCCATCTAGGAGTCTTTCTTTTCTTGTTTTAGGAATTGTCATCCACTGTTTCTGGCAGAACGCTTATAATTCTGCAATATTCTTGGACTGCACAGTATGTTTAAGACTTACCCACTGATTTTCAATGATGTTTAACTCTGAATATGAGGATCATTCCAAAATTAGTAGTTTGTGGTGGATTTTAAAGTATGCTTTTAACATATGGATTTTAATGTAGAAGCATCATCTTTTCAGCTTCAGTTTCTTGACTGACTGTGTCACATTTGCTTTTAGAATTTGTTGGTATTTAGTGTAATCTATTCTTCCATCTAACTGTGCAATGTTTCCTGTGCCACAGGCTGCCACACAATCCCAAAAGTACATGTTTTGTGAATATGGCCAAAGATTTCAACTTTATCAGTCTTTATAGCACTGTTTTCTACAATAGCTTATCTAGATGCTGTTTTGCATGCCTCAGATGTTAACTTTTGTGACGAGGTCACAGGTAAACTTTCCTTATGATGAGTCTTCCATGCAGATCATGTTTGTGTAAACAACACTGCACAGAAGAACGGTGCACCAATACTCCTGTGTGAGCTAAACCTTTCTGCAGGGCCTTTGGTGTAGCCATCTTGGGAATTTTGCTTTGTCTTTCTGGACAAACATTCAAGCAGTTGTGAGACTTTTCTTGGTCTTCCAGATCTTGTCTTGACTTCCACAGTTCCCCTTAACTGACTGTGAAAATTGTGAGCTGGAAGTGCTTTGATATCTTTTTATAGCCTTCCTTGGCTTTGTAGAGATCCGATCACCCAACACTGGTTGTTGAGTGTTAGCACAAGCTTTGATCATCAGCTGCGATTCCTAATGACAGCTCTTGACCTGTCTAACCAGTCATAATGAGCCAGGTAAGTTAATTAAGTTCTGAGAATGTTTCTCAGGCCACTAAGAATGTAAGTGCAGGACAAGATCAAACTGTGTCAGCAAGAACAATTCATCGACAACTACATTAACAGGGATATATTAGGGTGGCAGTGCATAAACCCCTCATTACAAAGGCGAATGCACATTGGAGAGTTCATTGTTGCAAAAACATAGATGCTGGTCTACAGAGATGTGGAAAAAAGTAATATCAATGTCAGATGGGTCTTCCTTCAGTGTTTGTCTGACAAGTGGCCAAGTTCATGTGTGGCATACACCAAAGCCCCTTTCACACATGTACTTCTACCTGAGAATTTAATGGGAAGGGGTTAAGTGTGAACATTAACAGTTTAAAAATCCTGTTAAAGTTGACATTGCATTTTACCTGCACAAAACCTAGCACAGTACTGTGAAATTACTGTGAGGACTGACATTACTAAGAAATACAAAGACATGTAGATTATAGCTGGCAGCGTTGTATATTTCTTTGATGCTTTTTTACAGTTTCATTTTTTAGTTTAGTTTTGCAAGTGAAAACATTTCAGGAGTGATTCTAGAGGGTGGCAATGCGTCCATGGCTACTTCTATGTAAATGCAATTCAGAAAAGCAGAATGTTTGTGTTTTTACAATCATTTTTTTTAGTTTTAATGAGAAAAAAAAGTTGTGAGAGTGTATTTTGGCACATGATTTAGAAATGAAGAAGCTTTTGACTGTTCATGAGAATATCCCCTACTGCTTACTCAGATTTTTGTTGCATGTATGAAAGCGTACATCTTGGTAAAATGCAGTTTAAGTGCTCCATGTGTGAATGACTCAAAGCCTGAAGTGGAATCCTTTCAGTGTTTTTTTCAGTGTTTTTGTGCTCAAGATGGCCATCTAAGGATAGAGTTTTAATCAGGTGGGAAATTTTGGTCCACACCCAAATATAGCTAGAGTGTTTTTTCTCTGAGCCTGATCCATCCCTACACACAGCATTGTACTTTAAGTCTGAACCTGACCCAAGCCAGACAAAATTCTGTGCGAACACAGCCTGAACTACTTCAGGTTTTGAGTCAGAAACTGATCCAAATACAATAACCAATGTGCCATATAAAACCTGACAGAATAGCACCGGTTACTATGAAGTGACTGTAGTGACAATAATAGCCATCATTAGATCACAGCTAAATAAAATATAAAACACTATAAAGTAATATGCTACAACTAAATAATCAGCTGTCCAACAGTTGACAGTTGAAAAGCTTAAATTCTGCTTTTACTGAAAATGTTCGGGATGTTGTTTAAAAGCATTGCTTGATAAATAAATTTGTAAATTTATCCAGGCAGAAAACATTCAGGACGTTTTCTGTCTGGATACATTTTCCATACTGCGATGTTTTCACTTGTGATCATATAGCAAGATGTTTAATCTGTTTAATCCTAAAACTCTAGTTTCTTTACATATATGAAGAATATATATTCTAGAATATATATATTCAAGAATTTATAACTTAAATATACAAACAAATTAAACAACTATTGGATGGAACTACACTGCGCTTTTCTGAATCAATTCACTGTTTTTTTCATCCATTTTCCCACAAGTGTGAGTCTCGTGGACCTCAGTGCTAAATTCTGTCAACAACATGAGTGTGTGACTCCAGCATGCCAGCTGTTTTAAGGTAGTAAAAGTAGAGAGGAAGTATAGACAAAGGGATAAATATAAAGCAGGGGAAATGCAGCGTAAAACCTGAAAAAAGTTAGTGGTGTGCTGTGAGAACCCGATCCAAGCCTGACGTACATTCAGGTCCTGTCAGTTTCTGATAAACAAGTTCTACCAAGGGGATGTGTAAGTGGGCTAGATGCATGACAGCGTCTTTCCAGCTCCTGACTCTGAGTTAAGCTGGGTCTTTTTTTTGCCCGATTTTAACCCCGATTTGCCCCTTGGGACAAATTTTTACAATCTTAAGTGATTTTCCAGGTGGGGAGCTCGATCAGAAGCAACTGATGGTGCAGATGATCTGGTAGTGTGAGAGGAGAAATGAATGAACCTGTAGCCCTCCAATTGAACTCTAAAGTGATCGGAGGCCCTCAGATATTATCAAACATGTTAGATATTTATGACTCAAAATGTTTACGAGTCCTGTAATGTGAGAAGGTCAAAGATGTACTCAGTACTCAGAAGAGTGGAGAAAAAGGCAAAGAAACGTGCATGCACACTGCCTGCAAAACGGAGCACGGAGACAGAGAAGCTGCATGTAAAACACAGCCAAATAAGAGTTGTTATCAAGTTTATACTTTATGAATCCAGACATCAAGGCACTCTTTTTACAGTTTCAAGTCAGCTACCAGTCTGTAATGAAATATTTCTCCAGCTCTCACTGTGATATCAGAGTTCCTCAACCCCATATCAATGCCAAACCGGTCCAGTCCACTAAGTTTACCTTTTTTTGTGTCATGTGAATTCTGAGGAGATCTGGGATTTTGTAGCCGTTCTTATTTGTAGCCAAAACTTGTTATGTGTGTTATACTCTCTCTTTTCCTTGTTGTCTACTGTGAGCGCCCATATGACAAAAAGACAAGAAATTCTGTGACAAACTGATGTTAAGTTTGTGATGCTCTCTATTTTAGAAATCTGTTAAGATTAGCCTTAGATAGAGTCATGCATGCACTGTGAAATATTCAGCTGGAATCCATCATCCATTTTTTCTCTCATAATGCTGCTCTTGTCAAGGCCTGTTAAAACAGACAAAGAGTTAGCAGGTGTGAGGGTCTCACCTTCAGGTTAAGCACCACCACTCTCGTCACCTCACTGGTGAATGAGACACGCCGTCCAGGCTACATGTGAAAAGGGGTGGCTCTGACTGGATGGCTATCTTGTGTAGGGGTCTTCTTGGTGGGCTCTCTGAGAAGGCTCTCCCATCAGCCATGGGAAAGGCAGGTCCTGGATCAAGCCAGTGGAGAGTGTACACTTGCCAGTGTAATTGGCCACTCTTACCCAAGCCACGGGGACCTGGTGGGCATCCCCATGCATTCTGGGGACAGGAGGATCTCTTCAGAAGCTTGAAGTCATGGTAGGCAGAAGGCAGAGGCAGAATTCCAGGCCAATGTAGCCATGTTTCTGGAGTCTGTGAGGCCCCTTGATGTTTTTCCATCCACTTTCAGCAACTTGGCAAGCCAAGTCTTGGCTGGTGCTCTTGGGGGAAGGACCTCAGGCTTGGGGATATGGGCTCATCTCAAGAGCTTCCAAATCCACCATGTACTTGTGAGTGTGGATCCACTTTTTGCAGTTGACTCAAGCTCTCTTTGGGGTTGGGCTGGGGCTGTTGTCTGGGGTGCAGTACTCTCCCTCTTATCAAGCCATGCCAGGGACAGTGCGCTCTCTGCTCTACCATCATACATGGTTCCTCAGGGTTCTTGAGTTTGACCACCTTCCTAAACTTTTCCTGTGTGAAAGTATCAGTCCATAGTGACCTTTTCTGCTTCCTTCTCTGAATCTGTGCCAAGATGCCCATTCATTCACAGATGACCTCAAAGGTGAAGAGGTTGGCCGCAATGTCGTCGTCTGTGCTGAGCTTGTTACTAGAGTGTGGTTAGCCTTGAAGTGATCCGGTAGGGGTAGAGTTGTCATGCCTCAAACTAAACCAGGGATTTGTGCAGAATTTAGTCACAATTCCTTGACTAAAATCGATTACTCATGAAAAAAATCATAGTGTTTTTTTGCGTGATGATTGCATGATGATGATGATGCATATTTTAAATTTTCCTCAATACTTCTACTGTCTTAAAGTATGCAACAAAGCCTAATGGACAAACCTATTTATATACTTTTTGACACTTAGTGTTGATATATATTTTATTAACAAAGTCTTTTTAAAAGCTAAATAGTTTATCTTTGTTGCAGTAAAGTGTTTTGGAATTCTTAAAAGGCTCATCGCTTGTTATTTGGGAGTCCATTGTTATTGTTTGACCTTTTTTAAAACTCTGATAACTCAGTTAATTATCAAAATTATTAGTGAATTACTCATTAGACATACACTTGACAGCCCTGTAGATCTAAGAAAATGGACAGTAAGTGTAAATCTTAAAATGGATTTTTTTTTTTCTCAGCTGTTAGGTATTTTTATCTGGTTCGGCGTGGTTCCCCCTCACACTATAATCGACTTTGAGGAGCTGCGGCCCCCAAACCCCGAGCTGGCCCGAGGGATCCTGAAGTGTGACATGTCTGACCTGTCTCTGATTGGCTGTCTGAGTTACAGCATGGTGCTAATGGTCACATGCACCATTTACGCCATAAAGAGCCGTGGCGTTCCCGAAACCTTCAATGAGGCCAAACCCATCGGCTTTACCATGTACACCACCTGCATCATCTGGCTGGCATTCGTACCCATCTTCTTTGGAACGGCACAGTCCACAGAGAAGGTACAGAGGATTGTGTTTAATGAAATGAAGAGTTTAAAGGAATACTCCAGCATTTTCCAAACATGTTCTGTCTGCAGCATCTATACTGTATGGTTGATTACCACAGACAATTACTTCAAAACACTTTCATGTACAAATCAACACCACACTGTAAAAATTATAATTCAGGTCAACTTGAAGTCATCTAAATTAGATTTTTAATTCTTCATATAAGTTAGGTCAACATAATACAGATTAAGTTGAGCTTACTAAGAAAAAAAAACAAAGTTGATAGACTGACAATGCTAAGTTTTCTGTTGGCTTTTTACTCAGTTACTCTCCAATATAGTCGCTGCTAATTCCCACATACAGACTATGACTATGAGTTGGGAAAATCAATAAAAAGCTTTGCAGAAGGCTAATTTTTATAATTTCAAGTTGACCTGATTTACACAAGTTTACTCAAAAGACCCTTATGAAGCCTTTGGGCAGTTGCAGAATTCGGTAAACATTCCTGAATTCTTCAGTCAATGGTATTTGTAAATTAAGCTGTAAATCTGGAAAATAATTATTTCCGATTTCATTAGTTTCCCTGAGGGAAAAAAATTGTGATTATTTGTTACCAACATAGTAATGTAGGCAGACTTTTCACAGCCTCCAAAGGATAGCCACAGGTACCAGAAAGCCTTTTGGAAAGCAATAAGAAAACATAACTTTATTATTTAATTATTGTTTATTTAACAGGGACAATACACATTAATCAACATAAATATTTGATAATATAAATGTGCCAAATGACTCATTTTATTTGCAGTCCCTGGGCAGGTTTAGGTTAATACAAACCCAATTCCAAAAAAGTTGGGACAGCAGGGAAACAGATGTTGTTTGGATAAAAGCTAATAGCTTTGCTTTTCTCATGTCTCTCCTCCAACACCAGTATTGTTAGAGTGCTTGCAGTTTCGAATTTGCATTACATATGTATTACAAAGGTTTATTCACAGAATTCAGCAGCTGCCCGCTGGCTCCTGTTTTAAGCGTGTTTTGAGTCAACAGGTTTTGTGTACAGGGAAATGTTGAAAATATTCTGTGGAAGATGCCACAGATAAAGATTAGGTTTTGCATTGAATTGCATATTGTTACTTGTTTGATTTAGTGATGGTGTACCTTTATTTAGGTCTATTAGTGTAAGGGATGATTTGAGAATTTGTTTAGTATTAGGGAAAAAATAGAAATTTAACTAATATTAAGAAAAAATCGATAAAAATTTAAAGGCTGCCTTTTGCTGACCATTTCTTTAAAAATCATAATGCTTTTGCAGATTGTTATAGATTAAACAGCAGTCTATCTGCATTTGAATTAAGAGACTTCTATTAGTGGTCTAATGTCAAAGGAATTCCCATCCTAAGCAGTTTTATGCTGCAGACTCAGTGATGTGCCCCATCTTATGGATGCAGTGGTGGGAATCTCAGTACACCTACACACTGTTCGCTTACACTCCTCCTTTCTTTTCACCTAGTGGGAGACGTTTGGGCCACTAAAGCAGACTTTAAAAAGGACAGTGTATTGTGAATAAGAGAGAGAGAGTGTGTATTCGGAGGCAGTCGATCACAAAGCTGCTCTGCCTGAGGTGCTCTTTAAGTCTTTTAAGTCAGAAATCAAAGGAGTGGAGTAAAAGAGAAAGAGAAAGAAAAGAGGTCAGATGGGTTTCAGTACCAAAGAGCAAGTTCAGTGTGGTTCAGCTGGCTTTTACCTTCATGTCACAGTATTTTCATAGTGTTCTTACACTGTTTTGGATATAAATTGAGTGTGAGTTGAGTTGGATTTAGTAATAAAAGTCTGACTAAATTATACAGAATGCACAATTGCATTAACCATGCTCTGCCCAAAGGCATTCTTTCATAGCTACTGTTGCTAGGTCAGACAAGATTTACAGAATATTAAATATAGCTTTATGAGAAACTATACACTCAATTTTTGTAGCAATACCTACATTTACAATGTGTTAATAATTTTAAATGATACTTACTTTGTATTCTGGTGAAAGGTCACACATTTTTACACTAGATGTCTAGTTCATTGTTGTGCTGTTGTGGAGGATTTCAAGATATGCATCTGTTTAACCCCTTAAAAAATGGTCAGGGACCACTGGAAGGCCCAGAGTTTTATTACATGCTTGTATGACCTAAGAATAGCTCAGCCAGTTTGCATTGAAATCCCTGTAGTTAGAATAAAATACCTGCAATAAGCCTGGGATTTTAAGGGGTTAACAGGCTATGCAGAAAGTTCACAGCGTTCAGCTCTTTTAACATTGCTAGCTGGCAGCCCCGCAAAAAAAATATTTTTTTATATGAATTTATATGTTTATATGAATTTATGAACTAATACTCTGTTAATTGGCTTAAATGAATAAAAATTAAGTGACTCATTTAGAGAGAACTTGTTTAGAGAAAGTTATAAGATTTACATTCATAGCTGTAGACCCCAGCAAAGAGGAAAACAGTCTTATGCGGGCGAAAAGTCTCATGCTGATCAGTTCAATATGTTTAAGATCTCAAAATCTCATTGCCTCGAAAAAATTACAATTCTTTTTCTCAATTCTATTTCAGGAACAGAACATTTGCTATCACATGATAATGACATAAATAACTCAATGTCTCAAGACAAATAACAATCAACTCATTATTACAGGAAGAAAAATGTGATTGTGAGGAAAAAAAATGTGGATATGTGATTCCATGGCCTTTTTCAGGCTTCCATTTAACTGCATCTGCAACTAATAATAAAAAACTTGTAGTATTAGTAGTGTAGTATTTTGACTGTTATATAAAAGTTACAACACTATTTCCAAAAAAGTTGGGACACTGTACAGTGTAAACAAAATCAGAATATATGTAATTCAAAAAAGTGCACAGACATTATAACAAACATTGAGCTGAGAAATTTTATAGTTTTTTGAAAAATATATGCCCATTTTGACATGATGCCAGCAACATGTTTCAAAAACGTTGGGACAGGGATATGTTTTTATCACTGTGTTGCATCACCTCTTCTTTTAACAACATTCTGTAAACATTTGAGAACCAAAGAGACCAATTGCTGTAGTTTTGAAAGTAAAATGCTTTCCTATTCTTGCTTAATATAGGATTTCAGCTGCTCAACAGCTTGAGGTCTCCTTTGTTGTATTTTTCATTTATTAATGTGCCAAATGTTTTCAGTGGTGACAGGTCTGGACTGCAGGCAGGTTTAGCACCTGGACTCTTTTACTACAGAGCCATGCTGTTGTAATACATGTAGAATGAGATTTAGCACTGTCTTGCTGAAATATACAAGGTCTTCCCTGAAAAAGACATTGTCTGGATGGCAGCATATTTTGGTTCAAAACCTGTATATATCATTCAGCAATAATGGTGTCTTAACAGATGTGCAAGTCACCCATGCCAAGTGCACTAATGCAGCCCCATACCATCACAAATGCTGGCTTTTGAACTGTGCCCTGATAACAAGCTGGATGGTCCCTCGCTTCTTTAGCCTGAGGGATGTGGCATCTGTGATTCCCACTTCGCCTCTATCTTAAATGAGCTCGGGCCCAGAGAAAGTGACAGCGTTTCTGGATCCTGTTTATATATAGTTTCTTCCTTGCATGGTTTTCCTGAGCCCATGCAGAGATTTCCGCTACAGAATCCTGTCTGTTTTTAATGCAGTGCCGCCTGAGGGCCCAAAGATCACGGCCATCCAATATTGGTTTTTGACCTTGTCCCTTGCATACAGACATTTTGGCAGATTCTCTGAATTCTCTTTTAGTGACATTATGTACAGTAGATGATGAAATCCCCAAGTTCTTCGCTATTTTATGTTGAGAAATGGTACTTTTGAATTGTTGCAATCTGCTTGAAATGTTTTTGCTGGCATTAAATTCAAAATGGGCATATATTTTTAAAAAAACAATAACATTTCTCAGTTTCAACATTTCATATGTTCTCTATGAACTATTTTAAACAATTAAATGTAGGGTTTAAATGATTTGCACATCATTGCAATCTGTTGTTATTTACAGTTGCCCAGCGTCCCAGTTGTTTTGGAAACGGGGACGTACATGTGTTTGTTGCAGGGGAGAGTGTTAGGAGTTATGAGAACTTTTGACTAAACTAAGTTTGTATTACTGAACTCCTCGATGCCTTCAAGGTGAGAACTCAAACAAAGCTCTGTAGTTGCATCATAATTGTTTAGTCGTCCTGACTTTCCACAGTGTTGTAACATTTCCATTCATGCCATTTTCAGATGAATTGTACACAAAATGTAGGTGCTCAAAACGAAGTTTACGTCTTAATTTGTAGCAGATATGTGAGGGTTGCTCGTAAAAGGAAAGTATTAATCTTGCTCAAATATTTTTTACATTCAGCAAAAAAATTAATGTTATGGGTTGTGCCTCACTCAGCTGGATCCTGCCTAAAATTTTAGCACCTCAACTTAAAACGTCTTGCCGCCTCTCTGCCTCTACAAACCTCTGCTGACCAGTCGTCCATTCTCAGTGGAGATATTAGCCTGATTTGTGCCATAAGGAAAGAAAGAATCACAGACATTTTCTCACAGACGTTTGGACTGGCTTTAAATCTCTCACCTGGTGCAGCTAGTGTTTTATGGTTGCATAAAAAAGCAAACCTGTTTATGTAGAGGAGGCTTTGTACTACAGATCAGTGTGGTAACTACTCCGGACATACAACCGACTCATATCATAACCATATAACTCTTTTTTTTTCAAGTTAATGTTTTTCACCATTCGAAAACATTACCTGCCCTTTGTATTGTGTGAACATTTAATGACAAATGGACCAATAAAGATGGTCCAAAATTATGTTCCATTAACGTATATTAAGGTTAAGTACTCTTTTCTGCCTCTTATGAAGTTACCATTTCCGAGATTTCTGAGGTTGATTATAACAGTGACTAAATATATTTTTTTATTAGAATACATATACAGTCACGGTTTAGTCACCCCTAAACTGCATGTTTTATTAATTCATGAAAATAATGTACACATCCCCTACATTGAATAACTAAAATATGGGGTTTTACTGCTAATATCTATTGCTGAATTTAACATATTGGAAAAAAAAAAACAAATCTAAAATGTGCCATAATTTTTGCACAAGCCATATTTTAAGTTTTATTTTGTGTCCCATACTTTAAATTCAGCACAAAAACATTAATTGTGCATTAAAATGTGCAGATGTTTGTTCTCTGAAGAGGATGTGTACTTTTGCATAAGCCTGTATACTGTGTATAACGTCAGAGCCCACCCACCAATCATTAAGTTAATTTCTAGTCATTAGCTTTTCAATTTACTTTTTCTTCTTGATCAAGGTTAAGCTCACCAGATTGCTACCCCCGTAGTGGTCCTGGATGTTGCAAGAAGGGAACCAGAGGCCCATATCAGAACTATTCCTACGGGTGTTCCTCACCAGGTTCTGCCCATGTGGTGGTTCTCTGGAGGTCAGGGGAGTAAATTTCTGAGCAGTAATATATAAGATAATCCACTTACATAAGAAAGGAGACAGGAAAGGAAAATACATTCAAAAAGCAGGAGTTTCCAAAACTGTTCAAAAAAAAATTAAAAGTTACAGAGAAAATGGGACTCTTAATAGATAATAGATAAATAGTAGTTACAGCTTTTATCTTTGAGAGACAAAAAACAAAAAAATCAAGCTCCACTCTTGCTTCAGCTTATAGTATTTTGAATATATTGTGTAAGTTATTATTGAATTAAATAACAGCAATTATTAATATGCAAGTTATTCCAATTTTTCGAATGGTAGTGTATACAACCCCATTTCCAAATAAGTTGGGACATGTAAATAAAAACAAAATGCAATGATGTGCAAATTATTTAAAAAAAATGAAATTTTATTGTTTTTGAAAAATATATGCCCATTTTGAATTTGATACCAGCAACACGTTCCAAAAAAGTTGAGATGGGGGCAACAAAAGGCTGGTAAATTTGTGTAATGCTAAAAAAAAACCACCTGGTGGTTGATTGACAACAGGTCAGTAACATGATTGGGTATAAAAAAATGCATCTCAGAGAGTCTTTCAGAAGTAAAGATGAGGAGGGGTTCACCACTGTGAAAGACATGAGCAAACAGTGCAATAATTAAGCAATAAAACACGAGAGGGAATGTGTTATTGCGAAATAACATCATGGCTGTGATGTTATAGTGATAACACACAACCTCAAGTGCTTTTATACAACAGTTAAATAAATAAAGTAAGAAATAAATAAATTGGGCCATGAACGTGGCATTTAATATGTTTTAATGTGAGCAACTCCTTCTGCCAAATGAAAGTGCAGCTTGTTGCTACATCAGAGTAACAAGCTCCGCTCACTCGCTGCACAGCCAGCAGTTCGTTCTCCAGCTCCTTACATAGACCAACCGACAGTTTCGGAATTTAGTCTTCAGAGTCTGACCAAATCGGCTGTAGGTCAAATGTGATCTTAAAAGTATCCACTTTCTGAGAATCTGGGGAAATCTCTGTATTCAAGGGACAAGGCAAAAAACGAGTATTTGCTGACCATGATCTTTGGGCCCTCAGACGGCACTACATCAAAAACAGACATGATTCTGTAGTGGAAATCACTGCAGGTGCTCAGGACCACTTCTGAAAACCATTGTCTGTGAAAACAGTTTGTCCCTGCATCCACAAATGCAAGTTAAAACTCTAAAACGCAAAGAAGAATCCGTACATAAACAGGATCCAGAAACACCGCTCATTTAAAATGGACTGAGGGGAAGTGGAAAAGTGTTCTGTGGTCTGATGAATCAACATTTGAAATTCTTTTTGGAAATCATGGGCACTGTCCCACTCAGCTTGTTTTCAGTGCACAGTTCAAAAGCCAGTATTCATGATGGTATAGGGGTGCATCAGTGCACATGGCATGGGTGATGTGCACATCTGTTAAGACACCATTATTGCTAAACGATATATACATGTTTTGGCAACATATGCTGCCATCCAGACTGCGTGTTTTTCAGGAAAGGCCTTGATTATTTCAGCAAGACAATGTCAAACCACATTCTGCATGTATTACAACAGCATTGCTCTGTATTAAAAGAGTCCAGGTGCTAAACTGGCCTGCCTGCAGTCCAGACCTGTCACCACTGAAAACATTTGGATTGTTATGAAATGAAAAATACGACAAATGAGCTCCCGAACTGTTGAGCAGCTGAAATCCTACATCAAACAAGAGTGGGAAAACATTTAACTTTCAAAACCACAGCAATTGGTCTTCTCAGTTCCTAAACGCGTACAGAGTGTTAGGTGATGCAGCACAGAGGTGAACATGCCCCGTCCCAACTTTTTTGGAACGTGTTGTTGGCATCAAATTCAAAATGGGCATATATGTTTCAAAAAACAATAAGATTTCTCAGTTTTAACATTTGATATGTTGTCTTTATAGTACTTTCCTTTAAAAATATGGTTTATGTTATTTGCATATCATTGCAGTCTATTTTTATTTACATTCTGCACAGCGTCGCAACTTTTTTGGAAATGGGGTTGTACATTTCTGTGCAAAAGTAAGAGATCACCCATCATTTATTTGGGTTACTGCCCAATCTAGGTTGTTTTTAACCACATGGCTGCGTCACTACTGGACAGAACACACACTGGGTTAGATTCTGTTCAAGATGGGCTGGTCATTTAACCCATGTTTTGGTTCATATTGACTAGAATTTCTGTGTTAATTTTACCCCATTAATGGGTTATTGTAATTTTCATGCTTTTTTTTTACAGTAATTCCTGCAAAAATATTATTTAGCCACATAGAGTTTAGTTCTCACTCTAACACACAAACATATTTTAAACACATTTTAGACAAAGTTGTTAGAATTTAAATCTATTAAATGTATCTTTGATTTTATTTGTGTTTATTTTTTCACAAAAACAGTGAACACAAATAATCAATTTTAAACATTTACATTTAAATTAATCTCCAGGGGATAGGATGTAGGGGTATGGCCCTGACAGCTCAGCCTTTTGGGGGTACTCTACCATGTTTGCTCCAACCTAAGACAGCAAAAAAAGAAAAGAAAAAAAGCAAAGGAGGAGGTTTAAAAATTTAACAGAAGACAATAGCTGTGTCATCACAGCTTACCAAACACACTAAGTTAAAAGGGTCGGAGGACATCCAATGATTTAAAAGTCAAATTATTACATGCTATCTGGTGTTGAGCCTATGATGTCTTGACAAATGAAAAAAAAAAACAATCTTAGTGCGTCCATACAGGCCCCTTTAAACTTGGCATGTGAACGCATTGATCAGAAACTGGGTTGGAGTTGAACATTTAAACAAAGCATACACTAGAGTTAGGTTAGTTTGCTAGCCTAGAGCACTATTTCGATCATGGAAAGAGAAAATTTAGTGATCACCACTGGTGAGGCGGTTGAGAGGGCTACTTCTATAGCTCCAACCCTACAAACAGAGCAGCGGCAACTGATAAACCTCAACCAAGACAAGTTACTAAAATCACAGGATCATAATGTGGGTCATGTACTTGCAGAATTTCAATATTAAACTGCAAAAATTGAAGGGGCGGACAGAATAAATGGCAACTGTCTGAAGAGAGAGCAAACATGGACTGCAACTGGTTCTGAAATGCTAAATCCGAATTTGTGTGTGAATAGTTTGATAGATCAGAAGATTTTTTCTTGGAACGGAGGGTTAGTACAGGTACCCTAACTCCACCCCCCTCATTAAATAAACATATTGTATGCTATGTAGAACTAAAACTATTAAATTATTAAAACTTATTAAATTCTAAACAATGCCTTTTTAACACTGCATTTCTGAAGTATTTTAGTAAAGTGGTGTACTGTATGTAATTGTATACAGTCTAAAACCTTCTGTATGTATATCTAAAACTTTCTTTATTTGTATATTTTATCTTGTTGGCCCTTAGTTCACCAAAAGTGAAAGTGGGATTAGTGTGTACTCTTAGATGTGTATAGGACTACTTCTGTTTTGCATTACAACAGTCTGGCTTCAAAGAAATTAGATGAAATCACAATTCAAGTTTGTCTTTAGACATACAAATCTTACACAAGGGGCCCAGAGGCGTTGCAAGACCATGATTCATCCCTAAACATGGTAAAGGGGGCCTCTAACAAATTAAGCAGGTAAACAGGTACTAAAAAATCAATGTGGAAAGTGGCCCAGATAAAATAGACAATGAGTGCAGATACAAGGTAAGTGTACCTAATAAAGTAGCCCACGAATGTATGTAAATCCTTGTTCAGTGCATCTGTGCATACACTGAAATGTAACCGTGCTACATGTGGCTTATGCAGTAATGCATGCGGATTCATGTGCTAAGCTGATTGAATTGTTTGGCGAACGGTTCATTTCACAGGCTTTTATCAATCAGGAGTAATCATTATACCCCATCCATCCTGCAGATTAATTAGTTTTTCAGTGCAGCCTGGCTAACTGGGCCATAGCTGCTATAATAACACAGAGAGAGAAATGAACAGTGAATCAATCTTAGACTGAGTGCCGTCTCTCTAATGTCATGCAATACTTGTCCGCAGACTGCTGAAGCTGACAGTAGTGCCTTTTAATCTGTTTTTTTTCCTGAGCCAGATGTTCATCCAGACGACCACGCTGACTGTGTCCATGAGCCTGAGTGCAACCGTCTCGCTCGGCATGCTGTACATCCCCAAAGTCTACGTCATTATCTTCCATCCAGAGCAGAACGTGCAGAAACGGAAGCGCAGCTTTAAAGCCGTGGCCCAGGCCGCCGCAGTCTCCTCACGACTCTCGCAGAAATCCAGCGACAAGCAGAATGGAGAGACCAAAGCCGAGGCTGACCGGTCACAGTGAGGAAGTTGTAGGTTTTTGAGTCTTTTTTCTAAAGAAAAACCTAAACCTAAAGAAAACCTGTAGAAAGGTACACTGTAAAAAACGGTAAAAAGTCTGGAAGCAGGGGTGTCTGTCAACAGTAAAGGTAAAAAAATCCTAATCTAAGATTAGTCATTTAATTTCTTAGAAACACCTTTTACTGTAATTCAACAGTTTCACTCCTTCAACTAATTATTCTGACATACAGTATTTGTGTGTGTCTGTGAAATAAAGGTGATCATATATTTTTATGGATTTACATTCTAAAATATAGCAATAGCAATGTTAAAATACAATATATTTATAGTTTATTTACATACATTGAACCTTCTTTTTTTTCAAAAAACGGCTATTGACCATAAAATTTTATGCTACTTTGACAACAAAAAAACTTTTACAATGTACTTTTACTTAAGCCATTATTTACAGAAATAACAATACTTGACTATGAGTTTAGGCTGATCTGCATATGGGCGGCACAGTGGCGCAGTGGGTAGTGCTGTCGCCTCACAGCAAGAATGGCCTGGGTTCGATTCCCGGCCGGGCGACCAGGGTCATTTCTGTGTGGAGTTTGCCTGTTCTCCCCGTGTCTGCGTGGGTTTCCTCCGGGTACTCCAGTTTCCTCCCACAGTCCAAAGACAAGCAGTCAGGCCAATTGGACATGCTAAAATTGCCCCTAGGTGTGAGTGATGGTGTGAATGTGTCTGTCTGCCCTGCGATGGACTGGCGACCTGTCCAGGGTGTATCCTGCTTTCCGCCCAATGACAGCTGGGATAGGCTCCAGCACCCCACCGCAACCCAGAAGGATAAGCGGTTTAGGGTATGTATGTATATATATATATATGTGTGTGTTAAAGGGACACTCTGGACAAAATGAAAATGTAACCATTGCTAGGTCTGTTTTAAACATGACTACTCACTTCTTATAGTCATACCACAGTAGTTTCAAGACTGAGATTTTCTAGTTTAAAAACTAGAAAAAACCCCTTCTCATGATGTATCTTAAAGGTGAGAGGAACTTTATATAACTTTATAACTGCCTTGAGGCAAATATTTGAGAACATTTGAGAGCTGTTTGAAATGCTTTTTTTTTGCTAGCTGGTGTATGCAGAAGGAAGCCAGATAGCTAACATTACTGTTACGAAGTCGAATGTCATGTCCAAATAGCACAAATATTTATTGACCTCTGATGCCTGGTCATCATTCTGTAGTTGGCTTCCATACTAGGAACCCCAGGTCTAAGCAGATTTCTCAAGGAAGAGTGCAACATTCAGTAACTGTTCAAGTAAATCAAGGGGCATTTAAGGCACTATACTATTAAGTCGTCCAGGAATTTATCACTAGAAATTTTATGCTGTTTGCTCTTGCTGACTAGAATTTAGCTGGAAAACAAAAGTTTGTTTCCCTTCCTAATTATAATAGGGTCACTAGACGGTCATGTTTTCTGGGGATAGTCCATGTTTGGTGGCCTGTCCCCGACTGAAGCCGTCTCCGGAAATGTCCCCATTTTTAACTGTGATTTCAAAACACACCAGAAAGTCCTAAGAAAGACCTGTTAGCAGAGCAGAAGGGCAGACGTCTCACGTTGTGCTTGTTTTGGCCAAAAGAAAGGGCAGACTGCTGCTATCCACTAACCACGTCTACCACTAGCTCACCTAGTTTTAGAGAATACAGCTGTGTAAAACTCAACCAGAAGCTAGCAGGTGTCAAATGAGCCCACAACATTGCCACAAACATCTTCTCAAGACAGAAGGTAACCCAGGGATAAAAGCAGAGGTAGGGTTACAGAACTTGAATCGTACTAACAGGTAATAGGTAGGCCTACAATCTACTTAAATGTAGGCTACCATACAATGTACAAATAGCGCTTCATTTTTTTTATACTGTTTTACTTTTTCAGACATCCATATATGACATATGGCATATGTTGACAGCAGCTGTCTCAGTCTCTCCAGAACTGGAGCTAGCCCAGGGGTGTGTTTAGGGTCTGGCTATTGGGCTATAGCAGGAGTGTCCAAACTTTTTTCAAAGAAGGCCAGATCGGACTATGTCACAATACCTGAGGGCTAAAATATTATTTGTGAATAATTAAAAATGTGAAAAATATAACCATGTAGAGCAATTAATCAAACTGAGCATCTTGCTGGTAATCCATTTTGAGAATTTGGCGATGACTACTTAAACATGTATAAATCTGCCAGCAGAAGAGTGCATGCACTGTACACAATGTGAAACATATCAGTGCGTAGAATCTGTTTGATCTGGACAGACGAGCTGCGGCGCAGGGGCGGGACTCGCTCCTTGCCCTCGTGCCTCTTGTGGCCGGCACTGTCTTCCTCCTACTCCTGCCGTCACTTGCGTCCCTTGGCGGAGCTTGGGCTTTGCGCTCCATCCCACGCCCACTTGCGGCTCTCTCCCCGCAGTCCTCCCCGGGGTTAATCACCGCTCTGTGTTTGGGCCCCGCCTTCTGGCAGGCTCTCACGGCCGTCATCGGGGTCCGGGGGGTGGGCGCATGCCACAGACCTTAAAACAAATAATTGATTTGCTTAATCAATAGATTGTAATACTTGCTGAACTACATTTGCTTTGATAGGAAGTTGGTGCTATAAGACTGGAGTAGCTGCAGTTGCTTTGGTTTCCCTGCCCTACCCTAAATATTTATTGTAATGTCATTGTAATGTCATGTATATTGCTATTGAATATATTACAGGCTTTTGACATATGAGGCACACACATTTGCTTTGGCTCTCAATGAAAAAGTATTCAAATTTCCAGTTTGCCAAAATTGTTGGTTCTTAATGTTTGTGCTTTAGGACTGTAGTCTTGACAAAAATAAATGCCACCATCAGGTGAAAAGAAAAACTTCAATGTGTTGGCTGGCGGGTCACTTGTAACACACTCTGAAACAGAAGCCATGGGCCAATTAAAACCTGTCCGTGGGCCATGTTTGGCCTTGGGGCTGTACTTTGGACAGCCCTGGGCTATAGCCACTGGTCTTTTTTACCAAAATATTTAATATGAATACAAATGATGTGCTCATACAACCATTGAATCTTTTGTGGTATACAAATCTCTGCCTCATCCTTGCCTAAGCTGCTAGACTTTTTTTTGCATAGCAACTTCATTTATAAAAAGCGACAAGCGACACGGTTTATATAGTTAGTTATTTTATCAGTCTGCCTTCACCATAGTTTATTACAGTAACACAGTCACCCTGATTGAAATATGTGAAACTGGAACTCCCCCCTGGGGTTTTGATGGGGTAGCAAGTGAATTTGTGGAGCTAGTAATAGTGCAAACCACTCATTGGTCAAAGCAGTTGTCACAGAATTGTTCAGTAGTGTCACAGTAGCTAGCCAAAATTGCTGTCTGTAACTCTCACATAATTCCAAACAGCAAGTAAAAAGTAAATCAGAACTTCAAGCACCTCCACTGTTGCTGTTGTTTTTTGTCACTGTTAATGTGACCACGCAAGCTAAAAACAACTCCACTTACTTTCATGGACCTGTTGTGTGATGGGAAGTGGACACAGGTACACGACCAGGGTACACAGTTATGGGTTTGCATTGTAACCGTACTAGGCTGTACTGTACTGCCCAGTGGAATAATAGCACAAGACAGCACAATTGGTCTCACTCTCTTTTTTTAATTTTATTTTTGAATATTTTAAGTATTCATATAATATTTCAAGGTCAATTAGAAGTGCCTATATTTTGCTGTTGGTGTTTTGGCATATTATGACTCAACAATTGCTAGTTTGAGTTGTAGCAAAATGTTATTTAAAAATCAAATAAAAACATATGTGCTCTCTGGCCCACAAATTTGTTGAGGTTTTTTAACATGGCCCTTTTAGTGGTTGAGTTTGCCACCCCTGCTTTAGGGCAAAGACATGGTGGCTGGCTTCATGTTGCAAAAAAAGTATTAAGAAGGCAATGGGGAAAATTAAACAATGAAAAAAATAAATTAATAAAATATAAAGAGAGATAGAGATAGAGAGAAAATTGCATAATGGGCTGCCATTCAGTCGGCTACTTTTTATTGTGCGGTTTATGCAGTTCCTATAGACTGGCTGTTGTCTACCGGCTGTCTGTCACTGGTTTAAATCTGTCTTTTTATGATACATGCAGTTGTTTAGTGTTCTAGAAATGCTGATGATACCCATGATACTCAGAAAAGTGTATTGTAACACAATTTATCACAATAATGATAACATAATGACATGGTGCAACCCTTCATTAAGGTATTTATGTAATCCAACAAAAATAAATTACAAATTATGCAAACCAGTCTTTAACCATACATTATTTTTAATTCACCAATGCATTTTTTAATTTGTCATCATATTTTGTCCCTATAATATACAGCCTTACTTTCGACTCAGTTCGATTTACTGTTGTGCATTTGTTCTTCCATAAAAAAAAGCAAAAAAGCAGTTTTAAATAACTCTTTTCTGTCTTTTTAGGTAAATAAGGATTGTTTTCAAGAAACTGCAATCAAATCAAACCTGGATGATGGACCAGGAACTTGATGGATGAAGCGGGTAGTCTTATTTTTGTCTGAAGGAAAGACACCAAGCCTTCTATCCTTTGTCCTGTGATGGTGCTTCACCTAATGGATAGAAACAGTGTCCGAGAGACTAGAGCACTTTTAGGGCAACGTTGACAAATGACAGCATGGAACAATTCAGAACTATTAACTTCAGCATACAAAATGCACTGAAAGTATGGACTATGGACTAATGAATTCTTCAGTAAAAGAATGGAGATGGCATATATATTTCAGATGTAAGAATGTGAATCCTTGTCTATGTCCCTTCCCCAACACCAATCAAACCCTCTAGTGTTTTGAGAAAACATGTGAAGCAGCTCCATTCAGCAGCAGTTCCACATGAATTATGTGTTTATGTCTGAAGTCCCCAAATATTTTGGTAGTGTTGATATGAGCCATTCAAACGCACCTCTCAGGCTGCCTGGGTACTATTCCAATTT